ACTTTTCTACTTCATTTAATGCACATTGCATCTTCTTTATAGTATACACTATATTCCTTCCTTTAAACCAAAGAGCCCCATCATCAGCAAACAAATACTTCCCCAGACTTGAATTTATCCTTGAAAAAACATCATTAATCATGATGATAAATAACAGTGGACTAATTACACTGCCCTGGGGTGTTCCATCCTCGATTACTCCACTGGAGGATACAGCGCCACCAACCTTCATCCTTATACTTCTTCCAACTAAAAATTATTTAATCCAATTGTACATTCTTCCTTTTATACTCAACTTTTCTAATTTTATTAATAATCCCTCTTTCCACAACATATCATACGCCTTTTCTATATCGAAAAAAACAGCGATGACACTCTCCTTGTTTACAAATGCCTTTCTTATATTATCTTCTAAAGATACTATTGAATCCAAAGTCCCTCTTCCCCACCTAAACCCACTTTGATAAGGAGAAAACCAGTTCCCTCTCCCCTTTGGTATATACTTATTTGCTGCAATTAGTATCACTTGTACTATTTCTTCACTTATCATCTCTACCGACCTATCTGATTCTGCTATAATATTATTTAATCCCTCTTCACTTAATCTCGTAAATTCTTCCCAAGTCGCTTTGTCGTACTTCCAATTACAAATACTTCCTTTACTTACACCATTTCTTCTTGCGTTTACTCTTATAGATATCATAATAGGGTAATGAACCCTCCACCATTACCCTCCTCACGATCTCTTCTCTCACTAACGTATCCTTTTATAACAAAATCTAATCTGGGTTTAAGCCAAGACTCTTGTATACATATTAAATCAGGTTTACTATCCAACTCATTGATAACACTTACAGTTGCAACACCTAATCCCTGCTCCTTCACATTTTCCATAATCATGCTGCCCCCCCCGCATCTTGCACATCTTTTCCTGGACTTACACACCATAGCCACATGCCCATATTTTTGACAATTATAGCACCTTAAAGGAGGAGGCACGAAAGGCCTAACTGTGTAACTAATAAATCCAAGTTGTACCTTATCCGGCAAAACATCTCCATCAAATCTGAGCTCAACTGAAAGACTCTCCATTCTATTCCCTTCTGTAGTCATAAACAATCTCCTAGCACAAACTATTTGCCCTCCGTTTACATTGTTTTTAAGCTCTTCCATAGACACATCTAATGGCACTCCAGTTATCACTCCACTTACCCACTGCCTCTGTCCTCCAATTTTACTACTAACCACTTCCTTCTTACATATTACTTTGATTCCCATCACTTTCCTCTTTTGTTCTTCATTGTTACAAACTATCAACAAATATCCGTTCTGTAACACTCTTGCATGCTTATTCTCTCCAACTACTTTCTCAAATCTTTAGTTAATGCAATTGAACTTACCTTTTGTATTCCACCTTCTGCTTTAAATTTCAAAATTACCTTTAACTCTTCCAGATTTCCATTCCTTATCTCCTGTTCATCTCCACTCTCCTCCGAACTTCTTACCTCTCTTTCCTGATGTTTATTCTTTCTTTTCTTTGTACCCACATCCTCCTTCCTATCTCTACTACCCTCTTCTTCTTCTGTCCTTCCTGACTCCATTTGGTCATCCTCCTTATCTGTTTCATCGATACTATCTAGTGTCTCTGGTCCATTTTTGGCATAAAATTTAATAATGCTGTAAAATAATTAAATAAAATATGAAATAATGCTAATTTAAATGTTTCAAATGTTTCCTTGCATTTGATAAGAAGCTGCGTGGGCGAAAATTACATGTAAACAATGTTAAGGCTATTTTGGCCATGCTCATCGCTGGTCTGGTTACTGGTGTAGGGCTATAGCCAAGCCGTTC